CATGGGCAGTTTTGCAACCTCGCAGTTCTCTCCTCTGCTTACTTCCTTGCATAAGACACCCTTCAATTTTTACCGTAAGGATTTTAGAAAAAAGTATCTTATAGTCGGAAAAATACGGTAGCATGATTGCTAAACTCATGAGTTATCATGTCTATTCTGGTGCTTGGGTTAAAAAAATAAAACAGCACACAAATCTACTTACCAAGACTGGGTCCTTTTACAGCTCAGCCAGGCCCTGTCCAAGTGTACAAATGTGCAAACTACCATGTTGGGGATAGGTAATTAACTACAGGACCAGTATATTTGGGCAACAAGTTTTATAATGTTCCTACAGCCAGAACTGTAAGAGAGTGACAAAATTCAAACCATCACATGAATTACAGTAGTACTATAGATGACTGCTTCTCCATGTGGTTGTAAATACACTTCATGTTGTCCTGACTCTGTCATGATTTAATATCATTCCAGAGACTAACAGAAATATTAATAGTACTTTGAATTATCAGAAACGTACTAATGATTATGAAATACATTTCATAACTTTGCATGGAGACAAGAACGCCCGCATTATCACAATTAAATCATAATGAATATTTATGGGAAATGAAAGGCAGCTGCTGCTCTGTCAGAACATCTAACAGCATTGGTAAAATTAATTAAAACAGTGGAAGCACCAAAACACACTAAAATCCAATCTCCAAGAAAAAGGCTGTAGGGCTGTTTTATTGGGATTGCACCATTTAGGAATAAGGACATGACTGAATGTCCTGAATGTCTTGGGCAACATTACAATCTGGGGGGAAGTGTAGCTATTTATTTTCCCATATTTTCAAAAATGACTTCGGTATTCATAGCTGGAAAAAAAAGACAGCAATGTTTTCTTTTGAAGCTTCACACTCTTCACAGACTTCATACAATGAATATAGCTTTTCCTTGTGAAGACAGGGAAAGATTGAGAAAGATCTGGAAGAAACAGTACTGATTGACAGTAAAACATTTCTTCCGAAAGCACAGGGAATATGCCCATGTTTGACACAAATACAATCACCACTGCTATTGATTCTAGAGCATGCAAAATACAGTGCCATTGCCAAGGATGAAAAGAGGAGGATCGCTAAGCAGAAATGTGGAGGTAGCAAGCTGTGTTGAAGTCGGTTGCTGTTTTCAAAAGGCTTATATGGTGATGCTTCATTTAAACTCTTGTACATACATGCATGTTTGCATACTGTTTGGCCCCATTCCCCAAAGAAATAGAAATATTAAATTAGGTTTCAACTGAAAATCATGAATACTTTGGGTTTGTTATGAACCCTGCCGTCTGGATTATCCAGCTCTATTAAAATGTTCTTGTCATCCTTAATTACTGGCACCTCGCTGGAAATCTGCAAAGGTTGTGGCAGATTCTTTAAACTGACATCCATATCTTTGAAGGCATTCAGTAAAAACACTCCTAAAATAATGGTAAGAAATCCACATACTGTCCCAATAATGTCTATTACAGACATGGCAACCCACTCTTTAAAGAGGATAACTGAAGTTGTGATGACAATAGTGGTAAAGAGGACATAGTAAATGGGAAAAACCATAGAGGTACTGAAGATGTCCAGAGCTTTATTGAGGTAGTTGATCTGAGTCGTAACAGAAGCCACTAATGTGAAGACAAGAATCCAGGTCAATGGGTCTTGTAGAACAGGCTGGTGAGTGAAAAAACCCTTGATGGCAATGCCCAGCCCTTTGACAGATGAGACGGAGAAAGCCCCAATCACAGAACAGATGGAGATGTAGATGAGAATATTAGTCTGGCCATAACGTGGCGCTAGGAAAAAGATCAGAACTAGGCTGATAACCAAGAGGATGCTGGCATAAACAAGAAAACCTGGAAGAAATTAAGAAACAAAAGAAGGTGACAAATTGTGACAATTTTATACAAGACAGAATGCAATACTTAGATCAGCTAGTACAATAAATCGATGGGTAGAGCAACACAGCACTGCATTTTAAGTAGGAACTTAAATAAATCAGTAAGTTTATTGTAAGGAATGGGCATCTTCCTATTCATGCAAGAACAGGATTTAAGTCTACAGAAAAACAAAGTGGAAAACAATAAGGGTGCAAGCCTGCGGCCCTAGAAAATGTGAAGGGGGAGGAGAAATCCAGGAGACAAATGTATTTATCCATCTTCACTTTTGCCTTGCTGGCTGCAGACCACCAGAGTTGGGGGATTGCTGGAACACTCCAATGGCTGGATTTTGGGCTACTTTGCAATTAATCATACAACCCTGAGGATAAGATTCAGTGAAAGGCAGGCATACACGCTCTGCACACCTAACTGTATTTTCCCTGACAGGCTGCATATCAAAAGCTGTTTTCCTGTACCTCATCTAGAAACCCAAGGTTTTGATTTAAATTTATATCAGTTCAAAAAGAAATGTAAAGAGCTTGACTGCAGGACATGAGAGTTGCATGTAAGCTTTTCTCCCTGGAAAGGAAAGCAGAGCAATTGGCACAGCACATGGGATACGGCTGAATCCAAATGTGTACAAAATCATGGCAACCTCATGGAAGATTTACCCTTGTGTAAGACACTTTTACAATCATCACATTACTGTCACCCTGGGGATTTGGCTCAGATATGATAACATTCCAACTAAACGTGACACCTTCATTCTTTTGCTGCCTTATTTCATAAGATTACCTGGTTCCTTCAGTTTTGAAGACATTTCTACCAAAGTGGTGATTTCCTCTTCTTCCGGAGCATGAATCACAAGAACGGTACTACCCACAATGCTCAGCATACAGCCTAGTTTGCCCAGTAAGTTCAGCCGTTCTCCGAGCAAATAAGAGGACAAAATGGCACTGGGCACAACAGACAAATTGAGAAATTCAGCCTTTACCCTTCCTGTTGTAATACACTGATAAATTAATGATGAAAAACATAAAGTCATTATACATCTCTATTTTATTATTTAACATAGATTAAAGTCACTGAATGACAAAACTAATATGCAAGTTCAACTTTCAGAGGGAAAAAAAGCGGGACTTAAGCACCTATCTGGCTATTGGTGTATTAGCACAACACCCTAAATCAGTTTTCTGTTGGCAAGCCAGATCACATTATTAACATCTGGACCTAGAATAAATATAGGAGGAAACAGCAAAATCAAAGTAATCACCTTATGAGCACACTCAGTGCCCCGAGTGGTGTAACAATTGTTGCAGCCGCAAAGGCATATGCAGCAAAGTTGGCGGCCTCTCCTCCACCCACTGAGCAAACAGCCACCCGGGAAAAAAAAAAAGAACAGGTGAATTACAATCATTACTATTTAGGTTCTCACTGCCAGCAACTCTTCTTCTATTCAGTTCCGTAAAGTCGGTCTCACTAAGAAAACATTAAAGCTTAGGAACTCTAAGCAAGAAGTTGTATGTACAACATAGTCTTTGAAAGACATTGCATCTTGGAATCTTGTGCTAGTAAGAATCAGCAACAGAAAGGTTCCAACAAAATGTCCCCCCAAGTTTTAAAATAGGGCAGGATCCAAATCCAGTTTGTCAATATCACTTTGTAAAATATTATATTAGAAAATGAATCAAGAGACACTACACTCAAATTGCAATGTAACAATCAATGACTTAAATCAATAGTATCCAGAGGACTAGTGGCACCAAAAACAGAAAAATATCTTGTAGCACATTCAAAATTAATAAATGTATTATGGTATATATTTTTGTGGACTGGAGTTGCTGGCAAAGAATTCCTGGATTCCAGTCCATGAAAGCTTACACCATTATAAATTTGTCAATTGCTGAAGGTGCTACAAGGCATATTGCTGGCTCTGACCAGCAAATGTCTCTTCTGAAAACTGAATGATTTATATTCATGAACACTCCCAGAGGACTTGCTATGGTGGTAAGGTCTGAAAAATAATTTCTACGTGCTTCAGTGTAATCTCTTTCAGTGCAAAGAGGCCTTTAAGTACAGAAACAACTTCTGTAGCTATAGCATGTGAAATAATCTTTAGAGACCAGGGAAACACAGAGGGGTTAAGTCCTCAGTAATCATCAAGGTTAAATATTTGATCAGGTACAAATCCAGGCTTGTGTAAATAATCATACTTACTGGTTAGCAAACCAGCCCACCACAACCAGTCTCTCAGATAGCCATGACCTCCATCTCCTGGGAAAATAAAAGGGTACATTTAGAGAAGAATTTGTAAAAAGATTTCAAATAAAATAAAGTGAATTCCAAACTGAACGGTATGGTAGTTAAAGACATTGCGTGTTTAGTTAAACATAAAAGAGAGAAAGGAAACAACAGTCTGGACTGAGAAAACAACAGTTTCCAGTGAGCCACAATATGCATATTTTCAATGACTTTTAAATGCCTTTCAAGAAAGAAAAGGAAATACTACCTGAACTGTCAGGCCCTTACAATCCCTCCCCACCATCACCTTCTGTGCATGGACTGAACTCTCACAGCATAACATTTCTGAAATTAACTGCCATGACATTATGCTCTGACTTGAACATTTTATGGTAAGCCACAGTGTGCATTATTATAGACCTGCTTTTCAACATTTTCTCCAGAAATGTTCTCCTAGCAAAAGTATTGTTACCCTAGGAAGCAGGGCTGGATTATTAGTCCATCTAGACCTGTGCTGTTAATACTGAGCAGTATCATCTCTCTAACGTTTCAGGTAGTGTATTTAAAATGGCAAACATGGAGTGAATTCCGTATGATGTCTGAAATGGACTTCAGAGGCTAGAAGGTATTAATACCTTCTCCAACCTGGAACCCGATTACTGTGTCTAACTCCCATTATCCCCAGTTAGCTACCATTGGTTATACTGGCTGAATTATTATGGAAGGAACTCCAATACATCCAGTGCTTAGGGAAGGCTGGCTTAAATACCACTAGAGCTCTTTTTTCAGAAAACAGATTCTTCTGTCCCCTCTCCTAAATCAACAAATCCATACCAGCCCTGGTGCCTCCTTTCTCCACCAGCCGACGCAGTCCTTTCTTCTTGAGGATGACACTAGTGCCAATGAGAAAGCTTGAAAAGATGGCCAAGGCCAAGCCAATGTAAAACCCATATTTGTCTTCAACTTGCACCATCCAGTTGGAGCTTAAAGTAAGATTTGTATGGGGTGAAACTGGGGAACTGACATTCTTAATGATTTGACAAACAGCATGATGATTCAGGCAAGCCAGAGTGAACAGGGAGCCTAGTAAGACAAGGAAATGTGGGGAGAGAAGATTAAAAATTAAGACATTAATAACTAGCAGTTTGCTTGCCTTTCATTTTGCATGCAATCTCCTAAATTGTATCATCACTAGGGATCTTTTTTCAATTGGTACCTAATTACTTCTTAGCAATATTATGAAATTAAAAAACATATATTCTAAATCTTTGCAAGGTAAAGAATTGAGAAATAATGACATTCAGATGCCTTAAAACACAATCTTATGATAATCTACAATCTGGAGGTAAATATTTTCAAGGCGTATTTCAGTCCTCAAATTCAGCTTAGATGAAAACATATATTTGGAGTCCTAATGCTTATTTATTTACTTATTTTTAATTACATATTTGCAAGACTATGACATTATTGCTGCAAACCATTGTCCTTCCAATGCATGTTCTCACATGTTTCCCTAGTTCTATAATAAATTAGTATTTGCAAATGGCCTTTGTCCTTTTCCACTCTTTAAAAAGGATTCTTGATTGTGAGATAATCTACAAGCACCTTCAATTTATATGCAGTACATACATTTAGTACATATTTAGTGAACTGTTTCAGTGTTTCCCCAAGGAAAAGCTTTCTCATCATTTTCTTAGGTGGAAATAATCAGAAAATAATATTTTTTCACAAGTTCTAGGATGTCTAAGTAGAAGTGGTACGGTTACACCAAAAATACCTGGGGGGGGGGGGGTT